AAAAAAAAAAAAAAAAAAAAAATGTGAGGCTAACAGTGTTATTTCTTAATTTATGGTCTTATTTATGCAGAATAAAAGGCAAAAAGCTGATACAATTCCCTTGAACATCTTCAGGAGTTGGAAAATACCAAATACCTGTGTGCGAAGGTCATCCGGTCCCAGCTTTGCCCGGAGTATTTGTAAGGTCGTTTGTTCATGTTGAACACTTAAAGGATATGCTTCCATCAATGAGAGCGCAATTGCAATGGCATGGTAACTGGCGGCTGTCTGTAAAACATTAACTGATTTAGTATACTTTTTTCTGGAACATGCAAGCAGCCAAGCACTACAAGATCTATATATTCCATTTTCACTGTCTGATTGAAAAGAGAAAAAGACACACTTCTAAAGGCCTAGTGGTGGAGTTATCATTGGAAGCAGGAAAGATACAACATTCAAAACCTGGTTCTTTTCTTTACACTGAAAAAAAAAACAAAAAAAAAAAGCAAAAAAAACAAAAAAAAAAACCATAACCCAGAAACAATATTGTAATGGTAAGAATATAAGCTTATTAACAAGGAACCTGAATATGGTCTGGGCCAAGAAGCATCTGGTTGCACTTCAGAGCTTTATGAAGATATCTTAGAGCAACGTGCACATTACCCAGTCCTTCCTCCATCATAGCCACATTTATGTATGTTGCAGCAGTGTTTGGATGTGATGGACCACACGTGAGATGTAATAGATACAAAGCTCGTTTCACATACCTAGATGATGGAAAATCAAATTACCACATCAAAATATGTAAAACTAAAATAAATTGGAATGCTTCTTCAGTTCTTTGAACAGAAAGAAAGCTCAATGAAGTTCCCAGAAATGGTTATCGTCCATTGAAGCTACAACCAATCATAGGCATTGTTTGAGACTCAAAGTCACAATATGCTCACAATATATCCATATTTTTGTTTAGGCTTGAATTTCCCTATCAAAGATCCATCAGTGCAACTCTACATGACGTAAAATCATTTAGACTGAGAGTCCGGATCTTTAAAGTAATAAATTACATTTAAACACTAAGTGAAATTATGAAAGAGTATAAACGGGAATACATGTCGGCTGTGTCTTGAACAGAAATGCTGTATCCCCCCGGAACCGATATGAAAGAAATAACGGTACCAGATAGAAATACCTTGTAACTGAAACAAAATCTGTGACTAACAAAGGATCGGGGAAGGCAACATGTACTGTAGTCTGTACATATGCAATAATAACCTTTGCTTGGAGACAACCATAAAAGTAAAAATAGTTTTGATGAAATAATTTCAGAGTATCATGATGGTAACAGTGATACATACTTGAGTGCCAATTCTGTGTGTTGCAATCTGTAATAGAAAACAGCAAGATCGCCGTAACTTTTCATAGTATCTGGATGATCAAGACCTAGCTCCCGCTCATTGATATCCAATGCTTTTTGCTGATATATTGTGGCCTGTAAATAATAAAATTAGTAAACAAGGTGTGCCGATACAGCAACTACGCATACAAATGCAATAGAATAAAACGATTGAGAAAGCACCTGGTTGAAATCTCCCGTGTGATATAAAACAACGGCAAGAAGGCTGTAAGCTCCAGCTGTCATCCGGTGATAGGGACCACATACTGCTACCAACTTTGCAAGGGCCTGGCATAGTGAAAAGGTTGCAACCATTAAGTGATCAATAACCACAAGATGGGAAACTATTAACTAGAATATATCCGGAGTCTAGTTTATAATGGTTATTATATTCCAACAATAAATAATAACAAAAACGAAAGCAGAGAAAATGTTATTGTAGGATTTAGGCCCGAATACTAATCTCATCTCCAACCTCAGAATATATACAAACAAAATCACCTTTGTTCCATAGTTGACAGCTTCTTCAAGTTTTCCCTTATCCAGGGCTGTTTTAGAAGATTCCAAGAGTTGTCGTCCATCCGCAGAAGAACATGCTGCTTGCTGCAATAAACCAATTGATTTTATAATGTGAGGATCTTGAAACTGGAAAGGATATATATGGAAAATGAGAGTAAGTTCACCTTATGTACTGGTACAAGGGAAGCTACGTCTTCTTTGTGGAAGGGATGTGCAGATTTCATATCAAAGTCCCTGGGGACAAGCTCAATACCCACCTATGAAAAGAACACAAGAGGTTTTTACAGCATTCTTATAATTTAAATTCCAGCCTCATCTGTGTGAAGTAAAAAAAAAAAAAAAAAAAAAAAAAAAAAAAAAAAAAAAACACTTCTTATTAAGGATCCATTCATCAAAAAGTGGTTCATAGAGCTTGAGTAGTAGAACAGAAATTTTGTAAGCACTTAATTACAGGTTTACTTAAGGATTTCAACATGTCTCGCACTGGAAATTACCCATTCTCCCACAATCAGTTATATGACGCGATTGTGTTGGACTGCTTTCTTTAGGAATATATATTCAATATGTGAAGAAAATAACTGATAATATTTTTCGAATGCTGACAATTAAAAGGCACATGTCACTGCCTGTCTTCTGAAAATAGAGCTAGCATACCTTATGGCATAGACCACGAAGAATAGCATATTTCCTCATATCTTTAAAGTTTGATTTGCTTAGATCCCACTCAAATCGTTTTTTAAGAAACACCTCAAGCCATCTCCACACAATGGAATTGATACCATGAGGTGTATCTGACTGTTCCTTCTCCAAAACTCCAAGCATCAGATTCAGTGCTGCTGCAATTGCTGCTGCCAGATTCTCAGGTCTCTGAACAGCAGAAATAACTGCCTGCAGAATGTGCTTAAAAGCACGTACAACCATTTCATGGATGCACAGAGATTGCACATGCGACAACTTCTCTGAAAGCTTAACCTGTTTGAAAATAGAATATGTGCAGTTTTCAGTAGAGAACTCACTCAAGATAAAATTTTCTGGTGAAATGTTAAATAGATTGACAGAACAACACAATACATGAATCAGATTGGGTGTGATGATGCAATGCAATATACAGGTGTAAATCCAATGAGTATTCAGCAATGATGGCATATTACTACATCACCCCTGAACCAACAGTTAATCAATGGTGGAAGAAAAAATGTTATATAAACAGAAGAGTCCATTTAATCATAAGGAACATACAACTTTCCCAAGGGAACGCATCCGAAGTCCTCTTGTGTGCATGAAGTCTGTTAATGTGCGACCGTCAACTGGAGAGAGTTCCAAGGAACCGAAATCGGCAACCTGTATCACATGATGGAGTGAGCCATGCACTAAATATGCTACTTCAAGGCATAACCATATGAAGGGGAAAAGATGCTATTACCAGTTTAGGCAAGGCAACTTCATCGTAATATTTTTGGGATAATTCAGTTAGTTCATGGAGTGACTGTCAAGAAAAGCAATTTAGTATCCTGAATCTAGAATCAAGTCTGGAAAATATACGTATAAACAAATCACAATAGTATCATGCTACCTTGGCATGTAGTCCAGTCTCTGAATCTTTTAATCGACTAAAAGCAGCATCAGACAACAAGGTCTTTAGCATAAGTTCCTTTTCACTTGCATTTATATCAAGCTTGGGTTCTATCACATCAACAGCTGCTCCTTCTGTCACATTCATCACTTCATCGGTTAATCTTTTAGTTTGCCATTCTGCCTTACCTCCATCTGTGTTCTTTTTATTTTTAAGGGACTTCAGAGGCGTTCCTAGTCCCTCAACCTTCGTTTCATTCTTGACCTTCTCATTAGACGCTTTCTTTTCTTTTTCCGTTTTTCTTTGATCTTGTAAATGTTGTATCCAGCAGGCTCCAAGTTCCCATCTCACAAAAGTGTCCCTGTCAGCTTCTTCTCCCTCTAGCTTTGAAAGACTTTCTTCCAACAATCTCTCAACAAAGGCTTCAGAAGAATCAAGTTCTTTACGCTCTCCCACTCGAGGACCCACTGTCAACTTACTTTGTTCAAGAGTTGCATTTTCGTGAAGAAGTTGCCTCAAACTACAAGTACAGTCAAAGTAAGAACCACAAGTAAATGGAGACCAAAGAACAAGTGAAATCAAATTATATAAACCACGAGACAATACAGCAAGTACATACTACATATAATTACATGATAAACTGCTTTCTTTAATGGATAAGGATATGACAGCTGTATAAAGAGATATGTATAAAGAATCTGATTGCATCATAGTTAATATAGTATCTAAATATAGTTACAAGGGAGAATATGTTAAGTAAACCTGTTAATGTTAAGAGCATTAGCGCCACCATCTGGCTGGTCAAGAAACTCTAGGCTTGTCAATGGGTGATCCGCATTGACTTTGTCAATCCCCTCAACTTTCACACTGGCAATATAACCACAATACCTTACGTTCACAACACCTAGGGTTGCAATATCCTGCACAACAATAACAGTTTTTCTTCATAAAAAAGATCAATCACAAGCAAAGATACTACTATATAAGATCAATTTTTAGCTCATCTTATCAAGTTCCCTACATGGGCGGCAGTATTCTCATCAGCCGTGATCCCCTTGAGCAAATTCCTTTCACCTACTTTCTTGTTATCCAATCCTAGAGCTAGCTGCCCATCGATCTTAGTATCAATTTTGCAACTGGCATCAGACGTGTCTTCAACAACCGCTATGCTCAGGTCCCCAACTTTCTCCGCATATATAATTTGATCGTTCAAAGCGGAATGTACTAGCTTTGGAGTTCTCATAACATGCTGCATGGCTGCAGTGGCTCTGAAAATAGCAACATCGACAAATAAACTGTGGAGAAGAAACGCTTTTCTGTCTCGGGTTTGTCTCTCCTCGGCTGTTTTGCATGGCATGGATGCAAGAAACAAAAACTCATTCGCAAAAGGCACGAGATCACTTTTCCCGTCTCTGCCTAGACCACCCCCATTCCCTCCCCATTTCTCGTCCTCCATGGGCAAAGGAGGAAATGTGGACGGTGATTGTGCGGCTACAGGTGGGATAAGCCACGTGTTGGCTCTAAAGCCGAAAGGGAGATTTCCAAACTGCAGTAAGGAAACGTGAATTTGTTTAGTTAAAAATCTTGTATACAGTAAGGATTTTTTTTTTTTCTTCCTTTTGGTGGCCTTTGCCGATTTATAGATACAAAAATAGAATCAGGGTAAGCTCGCTATACCTTATTCCTCTCTGAGAACGCATTCATGAGCTCATCATAGGCCTGAAACAGAGAGATACTGTTAGCCAGATTGGTTACTTTTATTTATATATATTTGGTCTTTGTAGGTGTTAAATACTGCATAGTTTCACCAGAAAGAAAAGGCGGTGGAACAAAAAGAAGAACAGGATTACGTAGCCATGTCCATCCTCAATTGACATACAAAGCAACAAAAGAAGTTTATACAACTAACATTATCAAAGGCTCTACTGAGTTGTCTCAACAAGTCAACCAAATTGTGACAAAGAATTTGCTGCCTTCCAGTGCTATGAAAACCTTTTCTGGAAGCCTCAATGAGTAGCAATTTACCATTACCCAATTTCACCTGCAACGAAAGAATTATTGCACTTGTTTAGTTATTTATTGATTGTCACACTATTTAAGCAAAGTCCCAACGGGTCTTACTTCAACAGCGAAAAGATGATCAGCTCCATTAATTCCACTGTCGGTTTTCTTCGATGCCTTTCTTATAACTGACATGGTATCACCAAAATTTTTAAGTAAGAGGAAAATCTCTCGGGGAAGGAACAAGAAGGCAAAGCTAAAGCAATTTTATGTTTCATGACTCCACATATGCGTGTGTGTTTTCTGTTTGTTTAGCATACTCGCCGAATATGCCCATATCAATACATTTGCTAAATAAGTTTTCATGATTTGGCTGAAATGTTGACACTTAATTCCTCTCAGTAAATTTACAATTTTTGGCCAAGGAGACACAGAGCTTTCTGGAGAACATCTTGGTGTTTTTGCAATCAATCTGCATTACAATTAGTTTTTAGCCTCTAAACTTGCAACTTAGCAGGCTTTAGTTCATCAGATTAGGCTCATTTCAATTTTATTCCCTAAAAAAAATGAGAGAGGAAAATTTACACTGAAGAGGAGGCGTGAGATGAGAGAGAGAAAAGAACTCGTAGAAGCTTGCCAACTTGGGAGAAGTATTGTTCATCTCTCCTTCTCCGTCGACCGCCGGAGAAGATACTTCCTTTGAATCAGCATCCGCAGCAGCTGAAGGCGCCGCCGGTGGGGGACTCCCTGTGTTGCTCCTCGAGCGGGGGGACTTGCTCGATTTCTTCGAAGTCTTCCTATCCTGCGTTCCCCGCCCATCCTTCGCCGGCGAGTCCTTGCCCGCCGACGGCCCGAACGACGTCGTGCAGGCGACGATGTCCAGCAGCCTCCTGATGTGCGCGGTGGCGCTCCCTCCATCGTAGTCCTCTGCGTAGTAACAAGTTTAAATGTTTGAGGGCAAAATCGGTAAATAAGACACCTTTTAGTCAATTTTTTTTTTTTTTTTTTTT